GGAGCACTGGGTGTTATGCACAAACAATGAATCATGGAACACTACATCTAAAACTAATGATGTAATGTATGGGGATTAACATAAGAATAAAAAAATGCAATGGGATTGGATCCAATTTTGATTGGATCCTAGATTCAACAAAGAAAGTCTGAAAAAAGACACTATGGGGACAATCAAAAACTTTCAAAATGGGCAACGTATTAGATAATATTTTTGAAAAATATTAAACATAATGAGTGTGACAAAAAAATAATAACCTTTTGAAGTAGGTGGTAACCCTCTTTTAGAGACTGGGAAACTAAGCTTCAGAGAAATAAAGGGATTTGCCCAAGAATCCACAGCTGGCAAATGGCAGCACCCAAACAGGCCCAGATCTCCCTGCCTCCAGAGAATAAGCTCTTGGCTGGTGGATGCTTCCTCCTCTGCAGCATCCCCAGGAATTGAGAGATAGGACTGTGATCTACATTATCTCCCAGGGTATGGTAGTAGCTAAAGGAGGTAAAGAGGCCCCTCACTCTTGCCATGGCACCAGCAGTAATTCACTGATACAGAATTTAATTGCTGTGTGACAATGATAAGCAAAAACAGGCCAGTTCCTAGACTCAGGATGCTTACAGCCTAATGAAGGAAACAAATGTTAATCAAATGTTGGAACCACTCAAGGAAATATATAATAACAAAAGAAGGTAAGAACAATGAAGAAGGGGTGCCTGGATGTCTCAGTCGTTAAGTGTCTGCCTTTGGCTCAGGTCATGATCCTGGGGTCATGGGATCCCTGCTCAGCAGGAAGCCTGCTTCTCCCTCTCCCACTCCCCCTGCTTCTGTACGCTTCCTCGCTGTCTTGCTCTCTCTGTCAAATAAATAAATAAAATCTTAAAAAAAAAAAAAGAACAATGACGAAAAGAAAGCTGACCTAAGCTGAGGGTCTACAGAAGACCTACGAGTTGTGCTTTGAAAAATGAATCAAAGTTAATGATACAGACAGAGGGAAGAGTGTGAGCAAAAGGCTGATGGCAAGGACTGTGCAATAGGAAAGCCCCAAAAGCTAGCAGGTGCCTGGTGCAAGATGAAAATGGAGGAAAGCAGGCAGAACCAGACAATGGAGGACCCCGAAGGCCATGCTAGGGATTCTGTTTGATTTTAAAAGCAATGGAAAGTTATTACTTAAGCAGGTGACAAAATCAGATTTCAAGTTAAAAAGCAACAACACTTCAGCTGCAATGTTGAGGGGATGGCAGAGCAGAATAGATGTTGTTAGACCAGTTAAGAGATTGTAGCAGCCAGTGGTAATGTGGACTAGAGTGAGCAGTCTATAGAGATGGAAGTGGCCAGATCTAAGGGATATTTGAGAGTATATGGGGAAATTCAAGTGAAGGAGGTGTTGAAGATGACTCTTAGGTTTCTAGCTTGTGCCGTTGGGATGGAGATGCCATTTCCTGAGAGAGGGAACAGCGGAAGAAGGCCAGATTTGGGAAGACACAAGTGGAAATGAGGAATTGGTGGTACTTTTTAGATGGGAGAAAGCAGTTGGATGTGCAAGTCTGAAGTTCAGAAGTCTAGACTAGAAATGTACATTTGGGAGCCATCAAATTATGGTTACTGAAATATGGATAAGATGGCCTCAGAAAGGGAGGAGTTAGTCGATGGGAACCCCTGGGATTAGATGGTTCTTAACAAGATGGCAGCTGAGGCAGAAATATTGGAAGGGAGCTGTGGAAGGGGGAGGGCTGAGTGTGGAGCCTGAGGGAGAAGTGGTGGGCTGGGGGAGAGCCTTACTGTCATTCTCACAACTTCTAGAAGTGCTGCATTCTATGTTAGAGGATGGCTGATGTTCTCTTCCACCTGGTGGGCTCTCCCATTCACCCTCCAGACAAGCCTCTGCTGGCAGCCTCCACATCTGCTGCCATTGATTCATGGGGCAAGTTGCTCTATCCCTGGGCTCCTCTCCTGGTGTCTTCCAAATAAGCAGTTAACTTATTTATTAACTAATCCCTTAGCGATGGGCAAAATTGATGGGCAACAATTATGATATAACCATACTATGGAATACTATGTAGCAGGAGAAAGAGAGGGAGAGAGAAATTTCTCTGTGTGCATATATGGAAAGCTCCCCAATTCATATATATATTATACATACACACACATACATTATATATATTATACATACACACACATACACATATATGTATATTTAAAGAAAAAAGACAAAGTACAAGGCCTGGATTCATGCTTCTTTCATATTAAGGGGAGAATATATAAACCTGTATTCAAATTTGTTTATATACACCTATATTCTGTGGAAGGATACATGAGACACTAAAAACAATGACCCCATAGGGAATAAGGCAGGTTGGATTGGAGATGAGGAATAACGATGAAAGGAGGACTTTTACTACATGACTCTTTATACTTAAAATTTTCTAAGCCTTATGACTATACCACCTATTCAAAAAATTAAATTAAAAAGCCTGGAAAAATGCCATTTTCCAATATAAGTTTCATGAGTTCCATATTCTATATTTTTTAATGAAACTGATTTTCGGGGTGCCTGGGTGGCTCAGTCAGTTAGGCATCTGCCTTCAGCTCAGGTCATGATCTCCAGGTCCTGGGATCGAGTCCCGCATCAGGCTCCCTGCTCAGTGGGGAGTCTGCTTCTCCCTTTCCCTCTGCCTCTCCCCTCCACTTGTGCTCTCTCTCTCTCTCAAATGAATAAATAAAATCTTAAAAAAAAAAAGAAAAAAGAAACTGATTTTGGCTAGTGTGATATTTTTATAATTAATTTTTTAAGATAATTGTAGATTCACAGGCAGTTGAGAGAAATAATACAGAAGGATCCAATATACTTTTCACCTAGGTTCCCCCTATAATGATAACATCTTATAAAGCTGTAATACAATATCACAACCAGGATATTAACATTAATACAGTCAAGATACAGACAATTTCCATCACTATTATGTGCCATTTTAAAAATACTTAAGATGCATGATTTATTAAATAACATATTTTACAAATCAATGTATCTAGTATAATCCCATAATTTTAAAAAAATCTAGAAGGAAATCCAGCACAGCCAAATAGGAATAGTGATCCTCTCTAGGCATGAGCATTATAGGTGGTTTAACTTTTTCTTTTTTTCTTTATAGTTTTATAGTTGTTTTCTTTTTCTTTTCTTTATCTCTTTTTTTTAGAGGGAAAATTCATATAATATACAACTAACCATTTAAAACTGTACAATTCAGTGGCATTTTTTGTATTTACAATGTTGTGCAACCACCTCTCCTTAATTTCAAACTGTTTCATTGCCCCAGAGGAATACCCCATATCCATTAAGTTATCACTCCCTATCCCCCTCAATCCCCTGTAACAATCTCTAATCTGCTTTTTGTCTCTACAGATTTGCCTTTTCTGGATATTCCATACAGAAGGAATTATACAATATGTGACCTTTTGTGTCTGGCTTCTTTTATTTAGCATATTTTCAAGGCTCATCCAAGTTGTATCATGTATCAGTACTTCATTCCTTTTTATAGCTAAATGATATTCCATTATATGTATATACCATAATTTGTTTCTGTATTCATCTGTTGATGGACATTTGAGTTGCTTCCACCTTTTGGCTATTGTAAATAGAGCTGCCAAGGATATTTATGAACAAGGTTCTATTTACATTCCTTTTTGCAATTATTTCGGATATATATAAACCTAGAAGTAGAATTACTAGTAGTTGTATGTTTATCTTTTCAAGGAATCAACAAACTGTTTTCCACAGCAACAATACCATTTTACATTCCTACCACCAACATACAAGAGTTCCTATTTCTCCATGGCCTTGACAACACCTGTTACCTTATTGTTTGTTTTTGTTAGTCATTTCAGTGGGTGAGAAGTGATATTACACTGTGGTTTTGATTTGCATTTCCTTAATGACCAATGATGATGTCAAACATCTTCTTATAAGCTTGTTGGCCACTGCATATTTTTTTTGGAGACATGTTTATTCAAGGGTATGTTTTTTTTCAAGATTTTATTTTTAAGTAATCTCTACACCCAACGTGGGGCTTGAACTCACAACCCTGAGATCAAGAGTCACATGCTCTACTGACTAAGCTAGTCAGTGCCCCGACGATGTATGATTTTTACTTGTATCATTAATGATGTATTTTAAAACAAAGGGATTAAATTTTATATTACTGTTTCTGAATAGAATTTTCTTTTCTTACTGATTAAAATATCAAAATGGGGGGCACCTGGGTGGCACAGTCAGTTAAGCATTGGACTCTCGATTTCAGCTCAGGTCATGATCTTGGGGTCGTGAGATCATGCCCCCTGTCAGGCTCCACACAGAGCGCGGAGTTGGAGATTCTCTCTCCCTCTGCCCCCCCCCCACTCACGTGCTCGCTCACTCTCTCTCAAATAAATAAGTAAAATCATAAAATCTTTAATAAAAAAATTCAAAATGGTATCTTATTGCATTAATTAAGGTAACGGTAGCTGCTATAACAAATGAATCCCCAAATATTTGATGGCTTAAACACAAATGAAGTTTTTTTCTTGTTCAAATAAAGCCCAACATGTTCAGTAAATGGCTTTCTTAAGCAGCAATGCAGACCCTTAAGGTCTTTTTATATGTGCTCTGCCAACTTCAGCTCAAGGCTTCTAAGGAGTCACTGGTCCAGTATTTGTAAAAGGGTTGCTGACGCAGTGCAGAGGGCCCAGTGAGGCCGAAGACCATGCACCATTGGCACCAATTTATCTTATTTTTATTTTAAGTATAGAGATGGAGAAGGCTCACAGATTAATCCCAGGTAGAGACTTTGCATGGTAAATGCTATAGAAAGATAAGGAATCGAAGAAGCTGAAGTAGCTGGCAAGAATGTGGGTGAGTGTTGCACCATGGGGTATATGCAGAAAGAAGAGTAACAGTGCAAGAGAGTGAATGGACCAGGAGAAAGACATGGAGAGATTAGAGGGCTGAACAAAGTCAAGGTGTAAACTTGTGAGAGAGTTGGGAGGGCAAGCAGGTTGAGAGGAGTATACACAATGCATCAAGGTTTAAGATTCCTAAAATGGTCTAGTTCAGGATGATGATGAAAAGACAAAGGTGCAGCTATGGGACTGGGTGGCCAAAAGTGGGTAGGATTTATAGCAGCTCGGGTTTAAGACAGGCAGGAGGACTTGAGGTTAGGGTGTGGGTTAGTTAGGTCATCCACAGAAATGTTGAAATGTCCCACATGTCAAGGCCCTAAGTAAACAAAGGAGAGTGCACAGAAAGGGTATAAAATAATGTAGCCTATATTTTAAAAAAGGATAATTATCGCAAGACTCTCTCAGAGAGAGAGTTCAAACTGGCTCTAGGCATGGCAGCGTTTCTGGGGGAACAGCCAAGTTATAGTTAAGGCAAAGAGGTAAAGGAACATTCTAAAGAATTTGGGAATGACAGGGAATTTTATCTGCATTGGAACAAGGATTCCTGCGGGAAAGAATGGAAGAGGAAGCATCAGATTGGAGGGAGCTACAAGCATGGGAATTTCTATCACCATATCAGAAACTAGATAACGTGAAAATATTTGGCCTTCAAAACACCTAGATATGCTGGATCAAATTTAACAAACATTTTCAGATTCAGAGCTAAACCTGCAAGGCAATAAGGGAATCTCCCAAGGAACGCAAGTAAAGAGGGACTGAAAACTAGGACAATAAGAGTACACTTATCCTGGTACTAGTTCAGCAATCCAAGGGTTTGGATTTTAACACAAGGAGCGGAGGCCTTAGGCCCATGTAAGGCAGGGAGACAAAATTTAGATTCTGCACGAAGTCAGGACTCTCCAAATGTTAAGGTTGAATGAAAAGATGGATTAAAAAAAAAAAAATCTTTCTTGGTCTGGCTTCTGGAAAGAAGAAAAAAAAAAAAAACCTCTCCCCCTAAGAATCTGTAACCATAGACATTCCTTCACAGGGGTTTGGTATTCAAATGTATTCCATCCGAATAGTCTTGGACCCCAAGTTGAGAAATTCATATGAAAAGGGATTCCTGTCCAGGCATTTTAATACTGGAAAAGAAGTGGAGAATGGGTGTTAGAATACCTAGCAGTCTGCCACTTCAGTCTATATTTTTGTTGAAGAGAAATATGATCAACACAACACTTTCAAGGATAATAAAGGATTACATTAAAATAAAATTGGAGGGAAACATGGACTCAAAATACAAGATTGAGAAAGAAAAGGAATAATGTAAAATTTCTAGTATCATCCCTATTGAAAAATGCATGTTCTAGAGCTAAATTCCATTTAATGGACATCTGGGGTTTAGAGGAACCAGTTAAATGACACCACAAGGAAGCAAACAAACCCACTTAGGGACATTTCACAGGACAACTATTTCTGCAACAAGTCAATGGCATGAAAAGATTAAGAGAGATTTAAGAGACCTAAAACCAGAAGTAAGGGGCGCCTGGGTGGCTCAGTTGGTTAAAGGTCTGCCTTTGGCTCAGGTCATGATCCCAGGGTCTTGGGATGGAGTCCCACATTAGGCTCCCTCCTCAGCGGGAAGCCTGCTTCTCCCTCTGCACCCACCCCACCTGCTCCTGCTTTCTCTCTCTCTCAAATAAATAAAATCTTTTAAAAATTTTTAAAAAATAAAAAATAAAGCTAAAAGTAATATTTGAACCTTGTTTGGATCCTAATTTGAATGAACCAACTATAAAAGACATTTTGAAGATAACTGAAGAGATCTGATTATTTGGTGCAATGTGGCACTGTGAGTAAGCAATCAGGTTTTTAGAGATGTATACTGGGTGTATGAGGGAAAATGACACATGCCTAGGATTTACTTTATAATCCTTTAACAAAGAAAACAAGCAGGGAAGAAAAAGATACGGAAAAGTCTTGATAATGGATGATGGGTATATGGGTACTGATTATACTCTTGTTTCTACTTTATATATGTTTAAAAATTTCAAGGTCAAAATTCAAAATTATTTAGAGAACACATGAACAAAAGTGCTTAAAAAGCACTAGTATAGCATGTAAGTTACGCTAGAAATTTCTTATTCTTCCCAGTGTGGAGGCCCAACTGATGCTTTTCTGCTTCTATTACCAAATGCCAGAATCAGGAAAAACACTTTGTACCCTGAGATGAATCAGCAATGATGAAGTCACCTCACTAGTTCCATCCCCCAAGAAAAAATTTAAAACTAAGTAATATCTAGTGTGGACTCCTTAATAAAAAATGGTGTCATCCCTTTTAGAATACTAATGTCTAAAATAATATCACAATCTTTGTGAATATGGCTAATATGAGAAAAAGTTACTATTTTCCACCATGAACAGATAAATGAAACTGGTAATTTTATGGGCTTACCTTTCTTTTAAAAACCTGAAATTCCTTTAAATGCCAAACAAATATTTGACTTGATCTTCCTGAAATCTGACTCCTTTGTACCTTTAAAAAAGAAAAACAGCGTACTGAAATAGAATTTACATACTATAAAATTCACCCACTTAAGTGTAAAATTTAATGGTTTTTAGTATATTCAAAGTTGTGCAACTATCAAAAGAATAAATTTGAGAACATTTTCATCACCTCCCCGCAAAAATCTTGTACGTGTAATCAGTCACTCTCCACCTTCCACCCCCCAAATATACCCTCACCCTCAACTCCAGGCAATCACTAATTTTTCTATCTCTATGAATTTGGCTATTCTGGATATTTGACATATATGGAATCACACAAAATATATCGTTTTTTTGACTGGATTCTTTCACTTAGCACAGTATTTTCTTTTTTTTTTTTTTAAAGATTTTATTTATTTATTTGAGAGAGAATGAGAGACAGCACATGAGAGGGGGGAGGGTCAGAGGGAGAAGCAGACTCC